TACCCTTCCGATGAGGATTAGGTTTCCGCAACACATTGTTGCTTGATTGGGGCATTCATAAGCATCTTTCCCTTCTCTCTTGCATTAAGAGTGCTAGCTATTTGCCCTACTTGGGCTTCTAGCTTCGCAATGGATTGAGAATGGGAGTGTAACAATTGAGTGTTTGCCTCTAAAGTGCCCAAAGCATTTAAAACTTTCTCTTCAAAAGTGGGACTTTTAGCATTTCCTTGGGAATAAAATTGGTTTAGAAAATGAGAGTTAGCAAATTGATTCCCTTGTGATTGGTACGGCCTATAACCTTGGGATCCTTGGTTTTGAAGTGGAGGTGGAATGTACTTCCCTTGAAAACTGCCTTGGGAAGGGTTTGAGCCCTCTCCTTGGTTTTTCCAAGAGAAATTCGGATGATTTCTCCAACTTGGATTATAATGAGTACCATAAGGATTGTTCCCTTGAGTCACAAAAGCTACATTAACTTGTTCATTAGGTTATTTTGCACTTGTTCGTGAGGACAATGAGAAGTAGAATGAAGAACACTAGAGCAAGTCATACATGATTCATTTGATGCACGATGAGAATGGTTATGGAATGAAGATACTTGGTTCGCCAAGTTTTAGTTAATAAAAAATTAATCAAACCTTTGAGATAAAGACTTCATTGCGGCGGCTATTTCATTTGAATGGTCGACTTGATGTAAGCCAACACTCTTCCTACCTTGTGTATTTCTACCATTCTTTGAAGACAATGTTCTATGTAATGAATTTTCACTCATGCTCTCATAGAGACACCACACATCATCCTCATGCCTATCAATGTATGACCCATCCATGGAAGCATCAACCATACCCTTATAATTGTCCGATAAGCTTTCAAAGAAATATTGAACTAATTGCCATTTGGGCATGTCATGATGTGGACATTTCCTAAGCAATTCATTAAAGCGTTCCCATACCTCATGAAACGTTTCTCCATCCCCATGTGTAAACTTTCTAATTGAAGTTCTCATAGCATTGGTCTTAGAAACCGGATAGTACTTCTTCAAGAACTCTTGTTGCATTTCTACCCAAGAAGTGATTGAAAAAGGCCTAAGATTGTTAAACCAATACTTTACCTTGTCTTTTAAGGTAAATGGAAAAAGTTTGAGCCTGAAGACCTCTTCCGGCATGTCCGTATATTTTACGGTCGAACAAACTTCAAGAAACTCATCCAAATGCTTGTAAGGTTCTTCACTAGGAAGTCCATGAAAGTTAGGAAGCATTTGAATAGTTTGTGACTTAATTTCATAATGATGTGCTCTAAATAAAGGCAATTGGATGCATGTAGGTGCATTTTACTCAATAGGCACATAGTGATCTCTTAAAGCAAGAGGTGGATTAGCTACTTGAGGTGCAACATGAACACCTTGGTTTTGAATTCCTTGATTGATAATGGGAGGTTGTGGTGCATACATTGGCCTTGGCATTCCATATGGAACTTGGCCTAGTGGTTGTTGTGGTTGGTGAATGTATGGCCTAGGCATGCCTAATGGTTTTTGTATGTTCTCATTGTGTACATTAGGATGAAGAATACCTTGTTGGTCTATATGACCAAGGTCCTTAACATGATCATCATTATGGTCATCCATTGATAGATTGGTTCTATTTGAACTTCCTCTTCCGCTAGGATTTCTAACGATGGATTCAAGATGCAAATCTAAAGGGACAAGAGTGGGTCTCAATGAACGACGTCCATGCATGCACAATGCAAAACACAACAAGCACAAAGAATGACAAACATTATGCCTTCACAACAATGCAATTAAACTTCTTCCATAAACACTTAATTCATACTCCCATGTTTGAAACAACAATGATGTAATGATAAGAAAAATGCCTCCACGCGGGCTCACGATTTATCTAAGAAATTAAAAACAAGCCTCCACGCGGGTCGACGATTTAACTAAGGGATTGAGTAAGAAAAAGCTCACAAAGGTCCTATAGCACTTCAACTCCAAATTTAAAGCTTAGCTTAGCAATTTTTTTTAAATTTTTAACACTTTTCCTTGTTTGCTTAGCTCCTTTGCTTGATGGCTCCTTTGCTTGCCTCCTAGCTTAATGCTCCTTGTCAAAGATAAACGAACACAATAAGTAATCAAAAGAAAAATAAAAACAAAGTAAAGACACGATCAAAAGAGTACTAATTCCTAATTGATTCCACAAATACGACGTTGCCTAATCCCCGATAACGGCGCCAAAAAGTATGGTGTCTTCTCGGCATGTGCACAACACAATGCACAAAACTTTGCGTTTGGAAATTAGTGTCAAGTGGGCACCATATTTAAATTTATAAATCGCTTAACACCTATACTATGTAGTATGAGTGAGAAGGGATCGTCCTAAGGGATTGAGTTGTCGTACTAGCTTGAGGAATCAAAATTAGGGTTAGTAGGTCAAGTGATCAAACAATTGGTTGGTTGGTTAAACTAAAGAGCAAATTAAACTAAATAATTGAATGCAACAAAGAGTAAGTAAGAGAGAGAAGAGTCTTGGGGTTTAGAGATCACCACCAAGCAATGCATTTATATACCATTGACAAGTGACTAATGAGGGCAAATGGTGTGTTACAATATTGGTGTGTGTATGTGTTTGGTTGATTCAACAAGCAAGGATGACTAGTTAAGCATGTATTGTCTAAACATCATGTGAAAGGCACAATATATCTAACCAATGAAGCATATATTGTCTAAACAACATGTGAAAGGCACAATAGATCAAAACAAGTCATTAATCATTTCATTAAGCTCACAATCCAAATACAACACAAGGTTAGAGACATATGCTACTTGCATTTAAAAGCATAGATCATCAAACAACAAGCATAGATTGTCCTCCCATTTAACAACTACATTACAACTACACTACATCTACACTATTAGCATGAAAATAAACTAAGGGAGAGGCACAATCCATCAAAGAATAAGTATGAACCATCAAGAAAATCACAAGAGCATTCCATTAAGCACTATGTTTTGACAATCTCTAAATCTATAGCATCAATACACATAGACATGCATCAATAACACAAAATCTAGAGACAAGCACATGAACAAATATTCTAGCATACATAGATATATGGACAGAATGAAATGATCAATTGAAAGCATTTAACCACATAAATCATTGAACAATCAAGATCTATATATATCAAAGTGTCAAAACATTAATTACAACACTAATCCCTCAATAATACACAAGATTTAGATATAGAAAGCATGCTTGGGGCTAACTCTAGCCCCAAGAGGATGTCTAGCCACTCATGGTGATGTTGCTCCAACCCTCAAGGGCTAACTCCATGGAAGAAATCTGCTCCTTGTTGATGAAGAACTCCCCCCTCTGTGTCTCTAGCCTCCTCCTTCTTTTCTTCTACACTAAGAATTGCCTCTAAGGTTGTATCTCTAATTCTCTAAGAAGCTCCCTTAAAAAGTGCATCATATTCCTTATATAGGTAGGTCAAATAACACATAAAATGAGCTGGGGTCGTGCAAAGAATATTTCCCAATGATTGGATATAAGACAACTTGAATAACCTGGAAATTTAACTTTTTCGCACTGGAGGAAGTTCGATCGATCGAACCTTGGACTTGGATCGATCGAACTTGGTTGAGATCTATCGAATTGAGGCTGGATCGATCCAACTGGTCGAGCTTTTTGGGAAAAGACAAATCTGAGATATTTTTGGAGATATTTTGGGGAATAAGACAAAAGTGGCTGGTAGGGCGGTACAACTAGATAAGATCAATCATTTAGATAAGGACAAAGCAGTTCGATCGATCGAAGAATGATGTTGGATCAATCGAACTTTTGGGATCTCTAAAAATATCATCATGGCTCTGATCCATCTTGAACTGCTGAGATCGATCAATGTTGGATCGATCGAACCTTGAAGTTGGATCGATCGAACTTTGCTACTTCCCACCTTTGGCTTCTTTTTACTTCTTTCTTTTTCCACTTTGCTCCTTTCTTTGTTTCATCCCAGAATTGCTTCCTTTTTGCTCTTATTTGGCTGAGTTAGCTTATTTTCGGGATAAGTGTCTAAAAAGGGAAATAAAATGAAATCAATCTAAAATGGTAAAGTAAGATAGATAAAGGTACTACAATGCCTAAGCTTAACGGGTTTAAATACACACTTTTCAGCGCTCATCAATGTCCCTTTTGAATTGTTTCAAGTCAATGTAAAAATCTGTAAAGAAATTGAGTCTATGCATGCTCATTCCCTACGAGTAAAATTGTTTACTCACCCCGAAGTTACTGGGGGTTTTGTTCAAGTACGAAGACTTGGTTCGTGATGTTCACCATTGCTTGGACGATTGTAGACTTGAAGGTTTTTAATTCTTATAAAGGTTGGCTTGAAATGCCACTTGTAGCCTTATGTATCAAAACTTGTATTCCTTGATTCCATATATGTAATGTGTACATAAGTACACTATTTTCAATGTAAATGACATGTATGAGATGAGGCCGAAGGCCAATGACATGTATTATGTATTCTATACACTTTTGCTTCTAAGGTTTATTATGAAAATATTGAAAAAATGTTAGGTTTTTGCTTCACCATGTTTGTATCCGGCGTGGGAATTCCATTCTTTTTCTTTCGTAGAGTCTTTATGATCATGTGTGAGGTGTGGCCAAGGGCCAAACGCCATTTTGCTATAGGTTTTGCATTTTGGTTTTATTAATTGCATTTTAAGTCATTTTTGGCCGTTGAGAGGTCATATTTTATATTAGGGTTATTTTGAGGCCGCGGACCATTGGGACATGTCTTAAATATCTTTTTACGCTTGCGCGCATATCCACATTTCACAAAACTCTTAAGTTTAAACTTTGGAACTATTTTTGAAAGATTTTATGAATTTTTATGAAAAATTCATGCATTGGGGTGTCATTTGAAGTCCCTCCTTCTTTTGACATGTTTTGGATGTTTGTTTGAGTCTATAGGAGGTTTCTAAACTTGTTTGGATCTTTTAGGAAGCATGCATAGCTTTAGGATTGAGCCAAGCATCTTCCCCATGGTTTGCAGCAGCTTTTTCTGCTTCTACCAGGTCCATCGGTCGGCTGATAGCAGAAATCGGTCGACCGATGAGTGTCCACAGTGTTTTTCCCGAGAGTTGCATTCTTAAAAGGGCGTTTCGGTCAGCTGGTACTGTACATCAGCTGGCTGATGATTGAGTTTCAGCCGGCTGGTACTGTACATTGGCTGGCTGATCGTCCCTAGAGCTTGGTTACCTTTTAGCTTCTTGGACAGATTTCTTGGGTCAACTTCAGAGTGTCATATCTCCTTCGTTTTTGATCCAAATTAGGTCATTCTTGAGCCTGAACTCAAGAGATTGAAGTTAGATTTCCAATGATACCAATTATTCTAAAAAACTCCAACCATAGTGAGAGTTATACCAGTTTTAGTAAGATAGGGTCGTGCTATCACTTAAACGGAGAATGCCTCTTTGTTCTATTTTCGTACCTTTTTCGTCCGGACTCCGAATCAAGTGATTCTTGAGTCTAAATTTATTAATTTTTCATTACCTTTCCAATGGTGTGCATGGTAGCACTCATTTCTGGGTGAAATGACCATTTTGCCCTTGGTCCATTTCTTATAGGGTATTGGAATCCTTGTTTCCTTCTTGCTTCCGTTGAGCCTCGGAACTCCTCAGGAAGCCACTTTTGTGTCTTAGGGATGATATACATCTCTAAAGGCCATGTTTCTTTTTAGCTTCTACATTTTGGATCCGTTTCGGGTCATAACAGAACACACTGGGTTTGTAAAAATCCAGGGTCGTCACACTTTTGCTTCTTTCTAATTCACTGGTGATGCTGCTCAATGGTGGAAGACAATCAAGAACACCCATAATGTTGAGGTTATGGAATGGGGTACCTTCACTAAGCTTTTCCTTGATAAATATTTTCCAGAAGGCACAAAAAGGGACGAGTTCATGTTTCTGATACAAAGTAGTACGACAGTGAACCAATATAAGGCAAGTTTCACGAGGCTGTCATGATTTGTGTCAGAAGTGATTGCTACGGAAGAGTATAAGTGCAAGCATTTTGAAAAGGGACTTAGGCTTGGTATCAGGGATAGGAATATACCACAGGAGCTGCGTAATTATTCGACACTAGTTCAGAGGGTTATGCCAGTTGAGGAAAGCTTGCGAGACACCAAGAGGATCTTGGAGTCCAGATCTCAGTCTGGGGGTTCCAGCTCACAGCCTGGGGATCGCCCTATGAAGAGGCAGAGGGAGGATAATGCACATTCTCAAGGACAGCGCCAGACACAATCAGCACCACAAATGTCTTTTCTAGGGAGGTCTTCACAGGGACAGATAATGTGCCACGAGTGTTATCAGGTGGGTCATTATCGATCAGAGTGCCCACAGATTCACCCTACATCAGTCGGAGGTCAGAGGACTTGCTTTCGGTGTGGCCAGCCAGGTCATGTGGTGAGGGATTTCCATTAAAAATAGAATACTCGTGGTGTAACATGACCACAGCCACATCATAATCAGTTCACTCCAGTTTAACCAGGTTTCAGTGCACCACTGCCTGCACCTTCAATTTAGAGTTTCGGACCTAATAGGGAAGCAAATTCTGGTTTCCCGAGCCGTCAGCCAGGATCCCAGGGAGGAGACTAGCAGGGTCAGGGTACTCAGGGTCGTGTTTATACAATTTTTCTTACAGAGGCTCCAATAGGTCCATCGATGGTTCGAGGTATCTTTATATTGTTTAATTCATGGGCAAGAGTGTTGATAGATTGTGGTGCATCTCATTCATTCTTTTCATCTGCCTTTATATCTACTTTGGGTTTAAAGGTGGAGCCTTTAGATTTTGTTTTGAGTATTGATACACCAGTTGGGGTAGTATTACTGTAATACCCCTAATTTTAAAAGGATAGTCTCGGCATTTTAATTATTGTTTTGTTGCATTTTAAATTGCTTATTTGTATATTTGCCTATTTGTTTAATTGTTGTTTTGTTTTTTTTTTTTTAATTGAATTGTTTGTTTAATTGTTTATTTAATTGATTTATTTGTTTAATTGTTTATAGTTAATTGGGTTTTATTTTAATTATTTATTTTTCTATAATATAAACTTATGTGTGGTTAATTAGTTGTTTTTAATTATTAATGTAAAACTAAGGTTTATTCTTTTATATCACGTTTTGGCCGACTAGGGTTTAGTTAGGTTTGCCGTCTCTTTTATAACTAGAATTAGGTTTAGAGGAAGCCTATAAATACATCGTTAGGAGTCTGCCAAGGGGTTTTAGAACCCTATTCCCGTAACAGTGGAGGCAGAGAGAGAACAGAGGAAGGCTTTACAATAATCGAAATTCATCGGAAAAACTTAGGAAGACGACGCTGAGATTTTGAACCGAAATCTCACAGGCAATTTTTATAACTATCTCTCTCCCTTTGACCTGTGTTCTTTACATGCCTAACACAATTCCAGGAGTGAATAAATATTAAATTAAATCTGGTTTGCATGTTATATTCGATTAAAAACAGTATGTGTTTTCACGATGTGGTATGCTGCTTGATTTTAAACTATTCTTGCATAATTCTTGTTTTAATTGATGTTGATTAATGGTTAACGAATTTAATTAGTTCTGGAACACACTAAGGCTTAGGATTAACCAGTAGGAACGGAGTAACCGGACACTGCTGGAGTTGAAACAGATGATGAACAAGGGAAGAGCCGGCTCCCTTTTGAAGGGAGCAGGCTCCCCTAAGCAAAAAGGCGGCTCCCCAAGGTGGGGAGCCGGCTCTACTACACAGGGAGGCAGCTCCCTAACCTAGAGAGTCGGTTCCATGAGTCTAGGAGGCGGCTCCCTCGGTTAGGGAGCCGGCTCCTTGCTGATTTTTGTTTTTTTTCAATTTTCGACGAGTTTTCTCTACGGTTGATGGATTTTTGATGTTCCAGATGTATTTGGGAGCTGTAATGGATGATTTAAATGTTGTCTAGAGTCAAATTAAAACTCCAAAAGACAGGATAATGCAAAATGAAACACTTAGGGTTAATAGTTTAATCAGTATGAAATTATTAAATAATTTGCATACTGTGTGGATTTAGATATTGTAATTTCTTATCTATATGTTAGAAATTTTTTTGTGAAGGATTATCCAATTCTAATCATGTATCAGTGGTATAGAATAAGCATGTTAAAATCTATATCTTTCTTATGCTTGTTAAGGATTAATTGATGATTAAATTTTAACATTTAGTGCATCAATTGTTAGACTGGTATTATAAGCATGATAGTTTGCCTATGTTTGTTATGCATGCCATGGAATTAATTGATGTGTACATTTATTTATGTTCTGTCAATTATATGGATTTTGGGGATAAATTGATATTTACATATATTGTTTGTATTGTCAAGTATTGGATTCTGTGTAGTAGTATCAAATAAGCATGTTAGTTCATATATTCCTATTATGCTTATTATGGATTAGTTGATAGTGATATTTATATTGGCATCTGTATTATCAACTACTGGATTGATGGATTATATGCACCGGTATGGGACGGTGGCATATTAGGGGGATTAGCTCAAAAAAAGGCTAAGTCCTACCTACTCTGGGATTAAGGAATAGATTAACTATAAAGTTAAGTCCTATTAATTTATCGTGTCAAGGCAACAAATAGTTGAATGGCACTACTATGGTTTCTGGATGGATTTTAAATATGTATAATTATGGTACCTTGATATGAGCGTGAGTCTTATGATTGATGGTTAGGGAGCGTATATGCATTGGGATGCATAGCTGGCTATGATGGTTGGAGGTGTACCCTGTTAGGTCTAGGTACTCATGCCAACTTCAAGTACGTTTTACATGTTGTCTACTAGTCAGGTTGAGACCGACCTGTAGTCCAGTGAGAGTCATTTAGTGTGGGTATATATTTTTACGGACTATATAGTTATTGTTGAATTGTTTAGGATATACATGCGTGCAGGGTCTCTACTTGGATTATAGTAGTATAGAACTTGCACGTGGGCCTGACCCACTCTTATTTTTCAGGTAACAGGCGGTTCCAGTCTTAAAGCATGATCGAGCTGAGCAGAGATAGTCACTCATTCTTCCGATTATGTAGGACTACTTCTTTTATTTCAGTTTTACTTTTGGATTTTATTCTAGTAGTTTGCATTTCAGTTCGGGTTTTATTAAGGATCCACTAGAGATGGATTCCCGAGTTGTTTAATTATTGGAGGATATTTACGGAGGTTTTGGATTATTGAATTTTATATCATTTAATTTTAAGGATTTTATTGTGGTTACCTTTTCAGCCTTTATTATTTATTTATTATTTCATTTTGCATTCTATGTTCAGTTACATATTAATTGTCTGGTATCCCTCGGATCTGTGCTCGGACTTGATCACCCGTGGCTCTAGAATCAAGGAGTATCACAATTACTCTTGGTAGAGTCTGCCGATCTGTAAGTTAAAAGTTGCGGGTCGCCGACTAGTATTTGATTTTATTCTTTTAGACATGACGAGTTTTGATGTTATATTGGGAATGGACTGGTTGTCCACTTTCTGGGTTACTATTGATTGTTATTGGAGGAGAGTGACAGTATGCACACCAGAAGGAGATTATTTTTATTTCGTGGGAGAGCGAGGTGACTTTCGTATTCCATCCTTACATGGTCACGGTGATTGGAGGAGTCCTAGCTCCTTTTTGGCTAGTTTGTTAGCAGATGAATAAGGGGTGGCACCTGAAGAGTTGCCACTTATTGTGTGAGATTTCATGGACGTGTTCCCAGATGACTTAGTTAATTTGCCCCCACAGAGGGAAGTGGAGTTCTCTATAGATGTCATACTTGGTATTGTGCCTATCTCTATTGCGCCATACCGTATTGCACAGGCAGAGTTGAAGGAGTTGAAGAAGTAGTTGCATGATTAAGAAGATAAAGGATTCATACGCCTTAGCACTTCACCTTGAGGAGCACCTGTGCTCTTTGCTAAGAAGAAGGATGGGTCTTTACGCCTTTGCATTGACTATCGAAAGTTAAAATCGGGTCACTATAAAAAATAAATATCCTTTACCAAGGATTGATGATTTATTTGACCAACTCAAGGGATTAAAGTGTTTCTCGAAAATAGACTGAGGTCAGGGTATTATCAGTTGGGGGTCAAGAAGGAGGATGTTTCTAAGACCACTTTTCGCACACGGTATGGGCATTATGAGTTCCTGGTGATGCCATTCGGTTTAACAAATTCACCAACAGCATTCATGGACTTGATGAACCATGTCTTCAATGTTATGGTATTTGTGGATGATATCCTAGTGTACTCATCATTAGAGGAGGAGCATAAGGGTCACTTGAGGATTGTGTTACAGACTTTGAGGAAGCATAAGCTCTATGCAAAATATGAGAAGTGTGAATTTCGGCTACCGGAGGTGAAATTCCTTGGACATGTAGTGTCTGAGGATGGGGTTTCTGTGGATCCTTTAAAGATTAAGGCTGTAATGAATTGGGAGCAGCCAAAGAATGTATTTGTGATTCGTAATTTCTTGGGACTAGCAGGTTACTATTGCCGATTTGTGGGGAATTTCTCATGACGAACTGCACCTATGACTCGATTCACTCGTAAGGGAGTTAAGTTCATTTGGGATGAATCTTGTGAGCGTGCTTTTCAGGAGTTAAAGAAAAGACAAACAATTGCCCCAATTTTAGTGATACCTGAGCGTAGCTTGGGTTACACCATTTATTGTGATGCCTTATGGGACTGTTTGGGTTGTGTGTCGATGCAAACCGAAAGGGTGGTAGCTTATGGTTCAGGTCAGTTGAAGACCCATGAGTAGAATTATCTAACTTATGACTTCTTGTTAGCAGTAGTGATTTTTGCCTTGAAGATGTGGAGACAATATTTGTACGGAGAGAAATTTGAGGTGTTCTCTGTAATAACCCGGTCATTTTTTCCTTTAAATTGATAACTTCCTTTAAGGACCGAGTCATTTCCACATTTTTCGTTTTTTATACTATTCACTTTTCGTCCTTTTCCCTATTTTGTCTTTTCCCCGTTTGTCACTTTTTGGCACAACCTCACTTTTCGTTCTCGAAGTTGGTTTTTGACTTCACGTATCTTCATTCTAAGTGGTTTTCACGAAAAACGTATCTTTACTTTTACAATAAGGTACTCTACCCGATGTCCGTAAGGCATGGATGCATAGTTTTTCAGAATCTTTTTCTTTTCTTGGGGTATTTTTCATAAATATCTTTTCAAGATATTTTATTTCAGGAGTTTTTAAGAAAATATTTTTAGAAGATATTTTCATTCTGGGTCATTAGTGCAGTTTTCACTTTTTGGAGGGTCATTGTGCAATTAATGAAATTTATTACAAAAATGCCTCATTTTTTAGCCTCGATCCTTGTATGGGATTCATTTTCACTTTTCGTCAAGTCATGTACTTTTAGAATTAACTTCTGGTCGTTTTTCTCCAGTTTCAGGGTTTCTGGACTCGGTTGCCGCCGAACTTGTTCGGGGCATACCTCTCTGCTCGGGACTTGGTTTTTGATGTTGTTTCTTCAATTGTTCATATTTTCTCATTTCAGTTCTTTTTTGTTCACAGAGTTTTGCCGTTTCTGCTCAAATTTCACTTTTTCGGACCCGGCGGGGCCCTTTTGGGGCACTTTTAGGGTTTTCCTATAAATAGGGGGTTATAAAATTAAAAGGTGATGTTCCCCTCTCTTCATGCACGACCAGAAGCTGCCATGGCAGCCCAAGGGGGCTGCCACTCTTCTTCTCTCAATTAAACCTCATTCCCTTTGTTAAAAAGTCGTAGTGCCTTCGTGTTTTATGCTTGTCTTGACTACGCGCATCTTTCCTCCTTATTAGAATCCGATTTTGGCCATTTTTTGAGTTCGGGTTTGAGGTCAAGTTTGGATTTTGGTATGTCCTCTTTGGAGTTTAATGTTCACCGTGTTGTCCTCAACATAACCAAGGAGTATCGTCAGATTCGGTATGTCCTCTTTGGAGGTATGGGGTGTTATAGTTTCATATTTTTGTTGTCTTGCATGCTAATGATGCTTATACAACTTGTATGCATGCTTTTGTTCATAATCTAGAATTTAATTTAGTTATTTTCTTCGTGTAAGATTTAGTTCTTATGGTGATATTCAACTTAGAATTAAATTGTAGCATGCTAGAAATTTAGGCCTTGGTATAGTGGTTGATATATATTAAATTGGGATTATTTGAATAAGAATTGCAACTTTTATTTAATATTTATCTTTTGTGAAAGTTTAATTCACATAGTTGTATCAAGCATGAAATAAACTTGTAATGTGATATTAAAGTAGGCCTTGGTGAGCTCTTGAAAATATGTTAATTTGAGAGCATTTGGAGTTATTTAAAAATCTAGAGGAAATTAATTAATTAGATTAATTAATTTTATTTTAAGTGTTTTAATCACTTAATTAGTTATTTGATGTTATGTATATGATGACCATGATATGTCCATCAACATATATAAATTTGAGGTTATTTGGAATTCATTTGGAATCTAGAAAATTTAATTATTTTTATTTAATTAAATTATATCTAATTACTCCATGGATTTAATTGTGTTTTGGAAGTTGTTTCTATGTTTAAATCATAGACTTGGACTTGTTGTATATTTACTTGCTTACATTTTGAGCATTTGATAACATAGTTATTATATTTATATTCATGATAATATGTTTTCCTTATTGAATATATGTAACACCCCCACATTTCCCACGCATAAGTTGATCAGGCTTATACACGAAAAACGAGGGATATCAAAAACAATTGGCAATATACAAGCATGGAATACAAAATGATGGAAATAAAAGAATTTAGACAGGAAAGAAACATTAAATAATACAACATCCATCCATCCTTTATTTGATACAGTACTTCATTACAACTTGGAAATCCTACGTCAGGGATCCCTAAATATAACCCTGAGAGTTCAACGTCAAAAGTAGATAAAAACTGAAACTGAAATTGTAATACCCCGTAATTTTAAAGAATGTATTTAAATTAATTTTGTGTTAGGTTAATTAATTTTATTTATTTGTGCATACTACATTATTATATTATGTTCATTTAATTGTGCATGTAAAGTGATTGTGTATGTTAAAATAGTAAATTTATTTATGCATGTATTATTAATAATAATTTTATTTGTTGGTTATGCTTATATTAATCATTATTAGTTAATTAAAGTATTATATTTGTGTTATATAGTATTATGATGATATAATGTATTATTTTGTAATAATAATAATTATATTAGTTTAATAATAATTATATTAGTTTAATAATAATAATAATAATAATAATATAATAATAATAATAATTATTATAAAAGTTTATTAATAATAATATTAGTAATAATAATAATAATATTTATAATAATAATAATAGTATTAAACCAAAGTCATGATGAAATTAGAGATTAGGATAGGATTGCATCAATGGTTATGGTTGGAATTAAAGCCATATAGGTAGGAATATGAGAAATGGGTGAGAAGTTATTATAAATTAGATATTTGTAATATTTATATTATATATTTTGTCTATAAATTAACTAGCTTGCCTTAGAAAAAAAAATAAAGGGAGTTAGAAGCAAAGTATAAATTCTAGAGAGCTATTTTATAAGAGTGAAAGGAAAAGAGAAAGAGAAAGAAGCTTGGACCGGTGTAGGCAATTTTACCCGACTACGCGCAGACCGGCGGATTTATTTTAAATCCAAAAAGGCAAGTTATTATCTACTTTTCCCCTTTGAATTAATAAATTAATTGTTTAGCTTATTTTTATGCATAGAGCCAAGGTTTGGGGGTTAATAAATTATTAATTTTATTTTATTAAATTAATGGAATTTTAATTATATAGGATGGTATATATTTATTTAATGTCCTATGAAATTAATAATGGCTAAAAATAATTAAATAAGACTTTAGGGATTTTTCTAGAATTTTCTAGATTTTTCCGGGCATTTTCTGCAATTTCCGGCGACCTTCCGGCGAGTTTTCCGGTCGCCGGCAGTGGGGGAGACGACCGGAGTGATCCGGTGCGACGCGGCACACCATAGGAGGGTGTACGCGCGCATCCTGGCCATTAGTGGAGTCTGATTGATCCGGTGCATCGCGGTCCATGATACCGCGGTACACCCGGATCTGTGGGCGTTGGATGGAGGGAAGATAGGGTGAGATGATCCGGTGTGACGCGAGTACGGAATCCGGATGCAGCCAACCAACCAGGAAGTGACACGTCAGCAAGGCACCCTTAGTGCGCGCGTGGCAGCGCGTGCGCGCGCGTGGGAGCGCGTGGCTGATGCCAGACGCGCGTGGAGGCGCGTGGGAGAGTGGGGAAGGTTGGGCTGCGCGTGGGGAGGCTCTGGGAGGCGCGTGAGGGCGCGTGTGGGGTCCCTACAGCTGCTGGAAATTACCAGAATACCCCTAGGGCCTGTTTTGTAAATTCCAGAACCTTAAACTTGGATTTTTAGGTACTGTGTTGGTAATTACGGGTTTAACGGGCCACGAAATTATTATTTTAACACCCGTTACTCATTTTTATGGCCGATTAATCTTTTCTAAGCATTTATTGGCTCGTTCGCAGTACGGATACTAATGTGATTTATTTAACGACATTGTTAAATATAAATAGTGTTATTATCGTATTTAATGGTATCAAACATTACTGTTAAATTAAATAAGGCCATGGTTTTAGTCAGATAAATTATCCATGATATCTTATAGGATGTTTATACTGTTAATTGATATATAAACCATGATTATTATGCTGTGTGCATTTCAGGGAATAAATGGACTGTTTATTATGTCGCATTTATATTATATGGATGTGTTGCCATATAGAACCATGTGAGCTGACTAATAAGTTTAGACTCATTTATACCTTATGCATTCGTTGCGATAGACAGATGTGTGGCTGTCGGGGTATGTGGTTTAATATTATTGGCATGTGTTGCCTAATTGACATACTCGGTATATTTATTAATATTATTGGCATGTGTTGCCTAAATTGACATTCTCGGTACATTTATTAATATTGTTGGCATGTGTTGCCTAATTTATATGCTCAGTATATTCATCAGTACTTTGCGAGGTGTTATCACTGTGTAGTTCGTTATAGTCTGTGTTGTCAGTACCGTGCACCATGTATAATAGCTGATTTCCCGGGTAGGGAAAGGCGACACTTGACCACCTAGTGTGAGTCTAAGTGATCTCCGTCTATTCTGGTTGAGGTCATGTTATACATCGGATAGTTCCCGTAGGATGTATACAGATATAGTACTCATCCGATTCATAATGATTAATTTATTTGATTCTCTGATTTGGGTCATAGTAGAGAGGACTTGCTCGTGGGGTTGACCCACCATTGTTGTTATTTCAGGATACGGTCAGTATCCGTTTCAAGGCTGAGGTTAGCAGTGTGGGACCATCATCCGAACTCATCTACTCCTACGATCCAGTGCAGGGTAGAAGTTTTATGTAGTATTTCAGTTTCAGTTTTTATCTACTTTTGACGTTGAACTCTCAGGGTTATATTTAGGGATCCCTGACGTAGGAT